CTGGAGAATCTGTGTAATATTTGACCCATAAATGTTTGATTCTGGTGTCTATATTAATGAAACGAGCCTGAGAAGATTCTGCGAGCTGGATCAGTCGATCTGACGATATTCATCTACTGTATTAGCATAGAGGGATTATTATCAGCGGGCTAATTTTAGCAGCTAGCTAATTTCTGTTAACACAGGGTGTTCTGAGATTGCTGAAACCCAGAGATCGACTTTACCGTGTTCTGCAATTAGCATATCCCAGAGAGAGAAGTGCTGTATTATCTGCTTAAAGTCTTGAATTAATCAGAACCGCAGAGCCGAGGCTGCGATGACGGAGAGTCAGGAGTCAGGACATTTCTCTACCAATAAAAGGCTTTAGTGTCACATCCAGGACAGTACATATTCATCTAATTAGCATGCTATCTTATATTTACCGTTTAATCATCTTCATAAAAATAAACCGTAATTTTTACAGTAGAAAAACGGCTGCTGTGGTTGCCAGAACTTTACCGTCAAAAATACAGTAGCATCGTTACAGACTTAACTTAAATTTACAGTAATAAACCATATTTAATTATCTGATATAATGTTAATTTGTCGAGCAATTGAAGTATTAATAACTGTTTTGTATGACTGTAATACACTGAAAACCACCAATCACAGCAGTGATGAGAGTCACATGATCAATCAAAGCTCGTCACAAGCAGCTTTTCCACACAAAAACCAATACAAGAACACAATCATGGTAACATACATGAAACTTTCAAAATGCTAATTTAACGACATTAAAACTGTCTTAAACTGTTATTTTAATAGGGGCCTAAAAACGTAAACTTTTGAAAACTGGATTCAAACTGTAGTTATTAAAACGATACAGTTATTATCTCTGTGAAAACTCCAAAAACTCTTGATTTTTATATGCACATGGCATTTCTTTATAGTGACATCGCCACCTACTGGCCTGGCAGCAGAACACAGACATTTTACTCATTAATATTTACAGATCCTGAACGCGGATCGCTTTGGCAACGTTGTCGTCTGTACGCGAAAAACACAAAGTGTCGTGTAGACGCAAAAAAAAACTGTAATAAATAAAAAAAATGAAACGGTGAAAAACGCTAGGGTGAAAACTGTTAATTGGTTAACAAAGTAACAGAGTTTCTGTACTATATATGGTAAATAACTGTGATGGATCGACATTTAATGTAATTTCACAGTAAAATACCGCACAATTTACAGTATTTGGTAGTGAAAAGAACAAGTCTGAATAATTACAGTAAATAATTTGACATTCCCACATTTCCAAGCATGACACATCAAATGTATTGTATTTTTGTTGAAATAACTGTTTCTTCATAGTTTGTCATGTACATTAGGGGTTTAACGTTACATTAAATGTTCTTTTTTTACATTTCATGTGTGTCACCATTATGGTGATCAGTGTTTGTGTGAATGAAACTGTGCAGCTTCCATATATTAGTATTAACTTTAATGTGGTCATGTGACTCTCATCTCCACTGTGATTGGACTAATATTAAAACGGATAATAGTACTTCAAAAGCTCAGCATATTCAAGTTTACTTGTCACTTGTATTGTTATGCATAGTTGATTTAGTTCTGGCGCCCCCCTGTGGTAGTTATCTAGAAATATAAGAGATCAAATGACACGCAGTCAGCTTTGTTTTGCGTTTCTAAAAGCATAATCTGTAAGTTAATTCTTCATTGCATAATGCTTGATGATAGGTGTATTTGAAGCTTTGACTAATGATCGCCTTTAGCTATTAGCCTAGCCATTAGCCTAGTAGATACTATATGAATCAATATCTGTATTTGTTGCTCTTTTCTTTGTTACCTGATAATTCTATTTAAGTAAATTGAAGACACTGATTTCATTTGGGGTATTTTTCATATAAGTTTCAGAACTACATGAATGGCCTTTAGACAATGTATTATTATCAATGTATTCTTTTCAGTATTACTCCTACTTCATAATGTATCTTATCAGAGAGATGAATCCTGACTCGTCTGTACTTTATGGATGGAGTTTTTTCTGTGTAAGGTGAGTCCGTAAAACCTTCCATGTTGCTATCGTATTTTTTACGGTAAATTTCTCCCGGCCGTTTATTTTTACCGTTTTTTTTTTTTTTTTTTTTTTTTTTTACAGTGTACCCCTCGTCATCTTTATGATCCCGCACAATAAACAAGCAGGCGTTCAGTGGAGCGCATGTGTTCTTCCTGAGGACCCGGACGCCAGGACCCCCAGCTGCAGCCCTCGCTCGTCCTGCCAGAAGAGACAGTGCTCATTATTCCCTCGGCCAAAGCTCTCTCGTCGTTGATATTCTGCTCATGAAGCTCTAAGAGTGTGTGAGAGGCTGCTTCTCTCTCTCTTTATCCGCCTCCGTGAAGGACGACCAGAACAGGTACCGGTCGGTCCGGCGCAGGTGCGGCGCGTGACGTGTTTGGGTCGCAGCTCTTTGCCTTGAGCTTCTGAACGGCTTGTTTGTGCCTGTAGTTCATTAGACATCAATGCGTGTCTGGGTTAGCATGCATCTAATGCGAGAGTGGGCGAATAAAACATGCATTGCTCAGAAAATGCATACTGGTAAATTTTGCTATAATCGTTTAGCATAAAACAGGTTGTTTATAGGTCCCATCATCTGTCATGTCAAAAAATCTATACATATATTTTGTGGTATTTGCATTTTCCCATAGTGTGACAACATGCCCCATGATTGGGAAATGTGTGCTAAAATAATGCAAACTGTCATCTGGTATACTTTGTTTATATATATATATATATATATATATATATATATATATATATGTCGTTTTCTCTCTCTCTCTCTTTAGTTAGATGCATGACTGTCTGTTTCCCCATAGTTAGACAACATTGCTCAGATCATGCAAACTGGTTATTTTGCTTTACAAAAATGTTGTGCATAAAACGGGTACAGACGAGACTCGAAAAATTTGAATATCGTGCAAAACCCCAAATTCAAAATTAGAATATTTGAAAAGGTTTTCATAAGCTGTAATCCATAATCATCAAAATTATAACAAATAAAGGCTTAATTGTGCATGTAATGAGTCTATATAATACATTACAGTAGTTTCAACTTTTAAGTTGAATTACTGAAATAAATGAACTTTTGCATGATGTTCTAATTTTTCGAGTTCCACCTGTGTTTTAAAGAGATCATTATGTCATGTTAAAAAAAAAATATATATGGATTTTTTTTTTATTATTAATATTTGCATTTCCCCATAGTGTGACAACATGCCCCCACAATTAGGAAATATGTGCTAAAATGATTCAAACTGTCATCTGTCAAACTTTGTTAAAACTATATATATATATATATATATATATATGAAGAGTTCAGATTTTCTTCTAGAATGATCATTTTTATCAAGCTTGTATATTTAAGTTCAGTGATTTCACTTAAATGGCAATGATAATTACCTATTAATTGTTATTTAAGTGAAATTACTGAACTTAAATATACAAGTTTGATAAAAATCATCATTAAAGAAGAAAATTTCATATGGCATTTAGGCTTTTGCATCTGAACTCTTCATATATATATATATATATATATATATATCCTCTTTCAATTAGATAGATGCTGTACTTGCAATATGCCACACTATTGGGGAATGTGTTTTAAGTGTGCTTAAACAATGCAAACTTGAGCATAAAAACATAGTTGAAGCACAATGTCAATTCTCTCATCGTTTACTCACACTCATGTTGTTCCAAATCTTGTTTCAAAAATAAAATAATTCTATTAAAAAATCTATTAAAAAAAAAACAACATAATATTGATGTTTTGGAATATTTCCTCCTCCAGTGAGACGATGTGTTTGCATGACTGAAATCACACACTGTTACCCCGTATAGTGTGATAAAATGCCCCATCATTTGCAGTCAACGTGTTTTTCAGCCCTTATATAATAACAATAGGTTTTTACAATCACGAATACAGGTAAAAAGTTCAGTGCGATAGTGAACGAATAAAAATTGCATTGCTCAGATAATGCAAACTGGTCATTTTGCTACGGTATTTTTATAAAAATGAATCAACTGCATATAATTAGGTCTTTAGAAGAAGAAAAAACACCTCTGCGACAGTCCAAATTAGGCCACAAAGAGCAGCTAAGAGCTTGCGGCGTGTGGGCCGATCATTAACATTGACGGACATCATATCTTTGCATAATATTATAATAGAAGTGCATATCGACCAGGTTTGATTCACGGCACCAGTAATGGGATGCATCCCGGAAAAACTCTTTAGGACTCTCTCGGCTGCGCCTTTCGCTTTGTGTCCATCATAATCACTCAATTACCAAAAGCTTCAAAGTCAAATTTGACATCAAGCGCATAAAGCGCGAGAGCTCCCCCAACAGTTCCGTGTCAGAAACACACTCACACCAGTTCACCTCCAGCTCTGAGCCTCTCGGTGCCCTCAAACACACAGATCCGCATCTCTTCACCACCGGCCACACATGCTCGTGAGATTAATGCGAGTGTGCACACTTCATACCCTTCTGCATCACACTGCCAGCGAGACACAGGCCCGAAGGGGGACCTCTCCACTGCAGTGTGTGCATGTTTATTGACTTTGCAGATGCAGCAGGAAAAAAATACAAAGGAGAAAACAGTGTTGACGTCCTCCAAGCGTCCAGCTGATCCACTCAGCCTCTCCAAACACATATGGTGTCATTTTTCATACTTCATTTATGCTTAGCATGGGTTGACTCAGCAAACGGACAGCATCTAACCACACACACACACACACACACTCAACTTGCTTTCTGTAATGCAACAATGAGCAATGCGTGGACTGAAAACAGATCTGATCACGCGCGCGCGGATAATGGAAGCATCTGCAGTCCGGTTTCAATCCGTGCAGAAACACACACGCGCGCGCGCGGCGCACCGGAGCTCAGTGAAGTGCTGCATTTACAATCCCTTTCGCCATTGAGTTGCACATGCTTCATTAAAGACTCACCTGAAACTGCTGCTCCCGTGAATCGGGAATCTGACGCTCCGCGCTGCTTTAAAGTTCGGCTGAGGCTCCGGGTCCGAAGCTCATGGTGTGCGATCGGGTCAGCGGTTCCTCTCATGCTCAAGAGGGACAAATCCGGCGGTTCGGGTCGCAGAACAGCGTCTGAGAAACAGGAGGAAATATCCGATGGAGAGACGGAGAGTCCGACTGACTGCTGAGAAACGCGCAGAGAAACGAGGAGGAGGCGCCGAGCATCACTTTACTGGATCGTATAGGAGGGTGATGGCAGACAGAAAGGGGAGGGACTGAAGGAGAGAGAGAGAGAGAGAGAGAGAGAGAGAGAGAGAGAGAGAGAGAGAGAGAGAGAGAGAGAGAGAGAGAGAGAGAGAGAGAGAGAGAGAGAGAGAGAGAGAGAGAGAGAGAGAGAGAGAGAACAGACATTATTTTATTATTTGAGTTTTGCTTTAGCTTCATTTGATTGATTTCTTTCCAATATGATATGTCCTTAACATATGTTTTACTTTTAATCATTCCCAGGATGTGAATTCTTGATATAAATTGTAACATTCATGCATTCATGTGGCATTTATTTATTTATTTATTTATTTATTTATTTATTTATTTATTTATCAGGAGTTAAATTTCCACTAGTAAAAATTTTAAAGCTTGATTACATCAGCGACGTCATCAGTTTCTGACATATGAATTCTAGATTTTTATAATTTAATTTCAACTAGCTAGTAAAAACTATAATTGCATGTTCACTACACTCTTAGAAGAAAGGGTTCTATATAGAACCTTAAAAGGTTCTATCAGCGCTACATATTTGGAACCCCTAAAAGGTTCTATACACTCTTAAAAAGGGCTCCTCTGGGTTCTATATAGAACCCTGGGGTTCCATACTTGGCCAATAGAACCTTTTACCAAAAAAAAATGGTTCTATATAGAACCATTTTGGAGTTGCATATATGAAGTGGGGAATGGAACCATTTCTGGTTCTAAATAGAACCATTTCTTCTAAGAGTGTATTGTCAAATGTTACTCTTTTTGACTCGGACCGGGATTTCTTTATAAAATCCACCAAATATGTTTCAACACTTTTGTAAATATAATGTCTGAACATAACTGATAAACAAAGTGTGTCGAATGGTGTGATAAAATGGTGTGTCAGTAAAACGCGGGTCGAGCGCTGTCCATGGTGCTGAACACTGGACTGTTCCGGGTTAAATACAAGCGCTGTCCGTGGTGCTGAACACTGGACTGTTCCAGTTTAAATATAAGCGCTGTCCGTGGTGCTGAACACTGGACTGTTCCGGGTTAAATATAAGCGCTGTCCGTGGTACTGAACACTGGACTGTTCCAGTTTAAATATAAGCGCTGTCCGTGGTGCTGAACACTGGACTGTTCCGGGTTAAATATAAGCGCTGTCCGTGGTACTGAACACTGGACTGTTCCAGTTTAAATATAAGCGCTGTCCGTGGTGCTGAACACTGGACTGTCCCGGGTTACATGTATGCGCTGTCCGTGGTACTGAAACTGTATTGTTGTAAGTAATGCAAGTAATTCAAGCCTATCGGTTACGAAAACAGAAATGCAACACTCTTTTTTTATTTATTTATTTTATTTTATTGTCTTTGTTGATAAAACAAACAAATGTGTTTAGATGAACTGCTGGGCCCAGTTGTTCAAAAACTTTAATCTGGAACAGAATAATCTAGATTTGGAATTCCCATGCTTTGCTACCCAGTTTCAGGATCAAGCAATCCATCTTACTTGTCTGTTGGGTTTACAAAGCAAACTAGGATTGGATCTCCCTGATCCACATACACACTTTTTCAGATTATCAAACCTGAGATATCAGTGCTCCAAATTTTTTTGTTTGATTATGTATTTCATGGGGACAAAGCATGTTAATGAACGTTCATGTAAAAAAACAAAATGTAAACAAGCTGGATTATAGCAACATTGCAAAATTACATTTCATAATTGCCGGCTGTTAGCTATGATAATGACAACAGGTAGAAGAGACAGTGTGGGTCACTTTAAGCGTGTATTATCTAAAAGAGAAAGAAATCAACATATGCAAACAAACATGCCCTTCCATCTTCAATTTCCTTTAAGCAATCAGACCCCAACGGTGAGACTAAAGGGACATGGAGATGAAAATATATGAGCTGGGAGTAGAAATATATAATGTTATATAATGATTTTGCATTCTCTCACGAAAGTTGAGTTCCCCAAGAAATGTTGTGTTTATGCTCAAAAAAACTTAAGTGTTTTTTATTGAGAGTAAATATAAAGTTTCTTAGGGGGCACAAAACATTTGTGAGAAAAAACAAAGGCATATAAGTTCAGCTTTTCCCTCATCTCATGTCCCTTTAGTGCTTCCGTAGATCCTCATGTGAACCACAACAAAAACAAACAAATATTAAAGATGCAACTGTAGGGATGCACTTGTTAAAAATGTCTTTTAACTGGTGCTCCTCTGATGTTTGTGCCAATGCGGTATATACAGTGATTAAAAAAACACTTAAAATTAAATATATTATTTTTTATTTGAGGCTTAATAGCTTGCCTATAATGTCTACTCCTAATTTATTATTTTAACAGTAAAACTAAGGGAAAATAAATATTGAAATGTGTATATATGACATAATACAATATTTAAAAGTTTTATGACATTTTGTTCCTGAAATACATTATCCAGGATAATCCAGATTTTTTTGTTGTTGTAATTTTCCAATTGAACAACACAAACTGATGATTTCATTCAGATCAAAACCAAGATTGAATCTTTTTTTGTTAATTGTTTATGAATCCCAGTGCTATTTTATCATCATTAGTTTGTTTGTTTATTTAGTTATTTTAGTACATTTAAATTAGATTCAAATGAGTAATTTTCCCTGGCAACAAGTTTAAATAATTTATTTTATTTCATTTTATATTTTTTATTATTATTATTATTATTATGTGGACGTTTGTCTTTCAAATATCTGAAATGGTTTTGTTTTTGTTTTTTTTGTTTTTTTTGACATGATAAGATAATTTACTGATAGAGACAGGCTTGGAATGAGAATTCATCTGTACAAAAAAAAAAAAAAATTCTTCAAAATGAGGCAAAACACTTTTGTAGTCATAGTGTGTGTTTAGCTTAGATACCTGCATTTAGTATAACACGAATACACACTGCTGTTCTAGTCGTTTGTACGCCTCCCAGATCCAGACCAATTTAATAACATTAGACCTGGAACAAATTTACCTCCAAAAACAATTTGAAGGATCTGAAACTGATGAATCCATTGCAGCGTTCAGTGCTTGAAATGAAATGAGATGTGGGGATTGGTGAAGGTACGGTGCCGATCTGCAGTGGAGGTGATTATCGCGTTAAGAACAGTGGAAATAGACTGACATCTTGACTGAGACCATGACCTGAAATCCAGAACACACCTACACGAGTTCTCAAGACCAAGAGCACAAGATCAAGACTCAGTCCAGGGTTATTTTAGTGTCAGAATAAATTCCTCTTGCGGCATCTCTTCTCTTCTCAGATGACGAGGGCGGGGCTATAACCTGTCACTCACATGAGATCAGCCAATAGCAAACCACAACCATCCAATCAAATCCCCACAGACACAATCAAGCCATGTTCTTATTCGACAAGCGTTTCACTCGATATACAGCACAATAGAGGAGAAAACTTCTCTTTGATGCAAACACTGTTGTCTTTTTTGGTACTGATGCATAATCATCTTAAATTATGTTATGAATGAAACCGCACTTACAAATATGATTTACAGTTCTTGTTTTGGTTGTTTTCACAGCTCATTTTCACCTCTTATCTCATCTTTTTGATCTTTATTTATAGTTGTTCTCAGATACTGATTGCATGTCTGTTCATATATATTTTAAAGACGAGGCATACGGATGTCAAGCATTTATAAGCCAGCCGTTTGACGTGACACGCGGCTCACAGCATCACGTATGTGTGCTCGACGTGCGAAAAACACTGACAACCCACTAATGAGAGTTCGCTGCAGGTTTGGCTTGCAAATCGTTTTCAGTCCGTCATGATTTATAATTACCACGATCTGTCATGACATTCGTATCTCTGAGATTTGGTTTATGGTCAGTAATGATCAATCTCACAGGGTTCAGAAACTCCTGGATCTTCCACAGAAGGACTGTGTTCCTCTAAAGATCTCAGATATTGGTGTTACACTGTAGAAAAACATGTGGAATATACTGTAATTTACTGTGTTTTTATTTTACAGTAAGCTACTTGTCACTTGCTGCCAGTTGATTACTGTGATTTTATTTTACAGTAAGTTACTTGTCACTTGCTGCCAGTTAATTACTGTGATTTTATTTTACAGTAAGTTACTTGTTACTTGTTGCCAGTTAATTACTGTGATTTTATTGCTGCCAGTTAATTACCGTGATTTTATTTTACAGTAAGTTACTTGTCACTTGCTGCCAGTTAATTACTGTGATTTTATTTTACAGTAAGTTACTTGTCACTTGCTGCCAGTTAATTACTGTGATTTTATTTTACAGTACATTACTTGTCACTTGCTGCCAGTTAATTATGGTTTTAATTTTACAGTAAGTTACTTGTCACTTGCTGCCAGTTAATTACTGTGATTTTTATTTTACAGTAAGTTACTTGTCACTTGCTGCCAGTTAATTACTGTGATTTTAAAGTAAGTTACTTGTCACATGCTGCCAGTTAATTACTGTGATTTTGTTTTACAGTAAGTTACTTGTCAATTCCTGCCAGTTCATTACTGTGATTTTATTTTACAGTAAGTTACTTGTCACTTGCTGCCAGTTAATTATGGTTTTAATTTTACAGTACGTTACTTGTCACTTGCTGCCAGTTAATTATGGTTTTAATTTTACAGTACGTTACTTGTCACTTGCTGCCAGTTAATTACTGTGTTTTTATTTTACAGTAAGTTACTTGTCACTTGCAGTCAGTTAATTACTGTGATTTTATTTTACAGTAAGTTACTTGTCACTTGCTGCCAGTTAATTATGGTTTTAATTTTACAGTACGTTACTTGTCACTTGCTGCCAGTTAATTACTGTGTTTTTATTTTACAGTAAGTCACTTGTCACTTGCAGTCAGTTAATTACTGTGATTTTATTTTACAGTAAGTTACTTGTCAATTCCTGCCAGTTAATTACTGTGATTTTATTTACAAGTTAAGTTAATTTCACAGTCAGTTTCTTACAGTATACTGAAAAGTGTTCATATACGGTATTTCTGATCTGTACA